AAAAAAAAAAAGAAAAGAAAAGAAAATGATCTGGCAAAAAGAGGTTTCACTAAAATGGTGCTCATCTGGGTTTTCCCCAGGCCACTGTGTTCATTGACTTTCTCATCAACACTTACTCCAGTAGCTGCTGTCGATCTCATATTTATCCCTGTTGCAAGTGCTGTGAACCCTGTGTGGTCAATGAATATTACTACAGGAAGAAGTGTGAGTCCATTGTGGAGCCAAAGCCGGTAAGGCATGCTGTGCGTATAGGACACCCAAATACTCAAGGTTCCCTTATACCACTGAAAAGTTTACAAAAATTGAGTCAAAAATCACAAGTTGGGCAAGTCTCTGGCATCTACTCCAATGGTCCATCTTTCAGATAAAATCTATGGTCTTGGAGAACAGAAACAAAAATAGAAAGGCAAGATGTAGGGAAGACAAATTTTTATGTTCCAGGACTTGTGAATTTTGTCATTAATTAAATTGGTACAGCCAAAAGAAAAAAAATAGCACGATGACTTTGGAGAACAATTTGGCAGTGATTAATAACACTTAAATGGGACATACTTCACAGCCTGGCATTTACACTTCTCCATATGTGCCCTAGGGAGACTCTCACATTAGTATCCAAGAAGTACACATGTACAAGATGTTCACTGCAGCACTGATTATTAAGTTATTATTAGTAAATTATTGTTAACAATAAAGAAATAGCATCTACCCAAATGTCCAATGGGTGAGTGGTGAAAGAAACTATGATAACCCCCTAGTACAGAATACCAGGCACCAGTTTAAAAGAATGAGGTATGCAATAATAGCCAAAATTTACACAGCACTTTTAGATATATATTAACTCACTCAATATTCATAACAACCCTATAGATATGTGCCGCTGTTATCTCTTTCTATAGAAAAGGCACACCCGAGGTTAAATAATTTGCCCAAAGTCATACAGCTAGTAAGTGGCAGAGCTGAAATTCCAACATAGGCAAGGTGGTTTTGGGATCTATGTCCCAACACTAAGTTATAGGAATTTCTATGAGTAGATATCTAAGCCATTTTGTTGACAGGAAAAACAAACAAACTGTAGAACAATATGTATGGTATGATATATAGGTTTAAAATGACATTTACATATATATGTGGGTGAATATACACACATGCATGCAAAAAGTGCTAAATACACACAAAAGTAGTAATAAAGTTGCTTCTGGGAAGGAGCCCAGGGTAGGGGAGTAGTTGCAGGGAATTTTAACCCATCTGTATTGTTTTGATTTGATTAATTTGGACTTTACTAAGCAGGTCCTCTATATTCGACACCATGATGCCCCAAACAGGCAAATCCCTCGTACTTAAAAACAAAGAGAGTTTCTTTGTTTTTCCCTCATCTAAGAACATTATTGTCCTTTCCAACAGCTGAAATCACAGTTCATTGTCCATTGTCCATGTATTCACAATCTGAAATGAAAGTTCATCTTTCCAGCTAAAAATAATCACCATTTCGTGGCCTAACATGGGATCTAACGGAAAATTATTTCTAATGGAAAATTATTATCCCATATAATAATTTAAGTTGCAATAGTATTTCTGGAGATATCTAACCTAGAGTAACTAAAATTGAGAGAATACAACAAAGGAATTTTACACAGTGCTTAGGGGACCTAAAAACATTAAGCAGTAGGCTGTGGATATGCTGAATCTACAAGTTAAGCCCATGAGGTTCCATTTCTGATTTACCTTTAAGCTCAGAAATTATTCATTCTTGGCCAGCAAGAGCTTTGGGCTAGTTGTTCAACAGTTTGTCATTTGCTACATGGAAATAACAGTTGCTTTCAGATGTGTTATAGATAGGCAATTCTTGATAATTCTATATAAAAGTGAGTAAACTTTTTAACTTTCTTTTCCTAGACATTAAAGTATGTGTCCTTTGTGGATGAGTCCCACATTAGGATGGTGGACCAGCAGCTACTTGGGAAAAGTCTACAACATGTCAAGGGCCAAGAAATCCCAGTAAGTTAAAATGTTGCCCTTTTTTAAAAAAGAAAATTTACTATTAAATATAAACACATCTGGACATTTACACAAGTCATGAGTGATAAGTTTTTAGAACTCTGGGAGGCCAAGGCAGGTGGATCACTTGAGCTCAGGAGTTCGAGACCAACCTGAGCAAGAGTGAGACCCTGTCTCTAAAAATAGCCAGGCATGGTGGCAGGTGCCTGTAGTCCCACACACTCGGGAGTCTGAGATGAGAGGATCACTTGAGCCCTGGAGTTTGAGGTTGCTATGAGTTATGATGCCATGGCACTCTACCCAGGGCAACAAAGTACGACTCTATTTCAAAATAAAAAAAAGGGCTGATGAGTTTTAACTAAATAAACATACTCGTATAACCAGCACCCAGATTAAAACATTTACCATGACTAGTAGAAGTCTCTTATGCTCTCATCCAATCACTGTGCTTCCTTAAAAGTAGTCATTATCCTGTATCCAAAGATTAATTTTATTTCTTCTAGAATTTTATAAAAACCAAATCTTATAGTGTAGTATATGAAGATACTCCCCAGATACTCTGTTCACTATCTAGTTTCTTTCACTCAACATTATTCTCATGAGAGTCATTCATGATGTTGCATATAGCAACTGTTCATTCTCACTGCTGTATAATTTCCACTTTATAAACATCCGATTTATTTATCCATTTATTTATCCACGGATATTTGGGTAGTTTCCAGTTTGGAGCTAATGCCAGTAATGCTGCTATGGTAAACATATGGCACTCTGTTGGGTGAGTGGAACTGCTGAGTCATAAGGCAGGCATATGTTCAATTTTAGAAGACACTAACAAACAGTTCTCCAAAGCTGTTGTTCTATTATAATTCACACTCTTCCCTGAAGTTCTGGTTGCTGTCTATTTTCATTAACTGTATTAGTTTCCCAGGGCCACCCTAATGAATTGGCACAAATAAGGTGGCTCAAAACAACAGAAATTTATTCCATCCTGGTTCTAGAAGCTACAAGTCTGAAATCAAGGTGTTGGCAGGGCCCTGCTCCTTCTGAAGGCTCTAGGGAAAAATCCTTCCTTGCCTCTTCCTAATGTCTAGTGTTTATGACATTGGCTAGGATCTCCAATATAATACTGAACAGAAATGGTAGTAGTAGGCATCTTTGTCTCATTCCCTATCTCAGGGAGAAACCTTTTTATGTTTCACTATTCATTATAGTATTAACTTTTTAAGACTGTTCTACTAGATTAAGAGAATTCCCTTCTGCCAGCCGTGGTGGCTCATGACTGTAATCCTAGCACTCTGGGAGGCAGGGCCAGGTGGATTGCCTGAGCTCAGGAGTTTGAGACAAGTCTGAGCTAGAGTGAGACCCCGCCTCTAAAATTAGCCAGACATCGTGGCAGGTGCCTATAGTCCCAACTACCTGGGAGGCTGAGGCAAGAGAATCACTTGTGCCCAAGAGTTTGAGGTTGCTGTGAGTTATGACACCATGGCACTCTACCCGGGATGACAGAGTGAGACTCTGTCTCAGAAAAAAAGAAGGAAAATTCTCTGTTGTTCCTAGTTTGCTAAGAATTTTATCATCAATAGGTAATAATTTTTTTTAAAAGTTTGCTGCACCTGTGGCTCAAGTGGCTAAGGCGCCAGCCACATATACCTAAGATGGTGGGTTAGAATCCAGCCCAGGCCTGCCGCCAAACAACAACGATGGCTGCAACCAAAAAAAAAAAAAGTCTGCTGCTTTTTTTTTTTTTTTTTTTTTTTGATGGAGCCTCAAGCCATCCCCCTGGGTAGAGTGCCATGGCATCACAGCTCACAGCAACCTCCAACTCCTGGGCTCAAGCGAGTCTCCTGCCTCAGCCTCCCAAGTAGCTGGGACCACAGGCACCCGCCACAACGCCTGGCCATTTTTTGGTTGCAGCCATCATTGTTGTTTGGCGGGCCCGGGCTGGGGATTCGAACCCACCACCTTAGGTGTATGTGGCTGGCGCCTTAGCCGCTTGAGCCACAGGCGCCGAGCCAAGTCTGCTGCTTTTGAAACAATCAATAAGTTCTCTTAATTTGTTCTGATACACTGTGATTTATACTGATTGATTTTCAGTGATTAAGCCAAACTTGCCATCCTGAAATAAACTCAATTCGAATGTGATGTACTATTCTTTATGTTTACTGCTGGATCCAATTTGTTAATATTTAGGATTTTTATATTTCTTCTTGAAAGAGACTAACCAAATTTTTTCCATTCTTGTAATGTCTTTGTTGGGACTGTGTAAAAAGTAAGATACAGTTATATATCACTTAACAACTGGGATAAGTTCTGAGAAATGCATTGTTCGGCAATTTGGTTGTTGTGCTAACATCAAAGCGTTCATTAACACAAACCTAGGTGATAGCTACACATCTAGGCTATACAGTATAGCCTGTTGCTTCTAAGCTACAAACATATACAGCATATTACTGCAGTGACTACTGTAGGCAATTAAAACACAGTGGTATTTGTATCCAAACCTATCTAAACATAGAAAAGATACAGTAAAAATATGGTACAAAAGGCTGGGCACTGGGGCTCATGCCTGTAATCCTAGTGCTCTTGGAGGCTGAGGTGGGAGGATTGCTTGAGTTCAGGAGTTTGAGACCAGCCTGAAGAACAAGACCCCATCTCCAGGAAAAAGAGAAAAATTGGGCAACCCGTTCAGGACCCCTTCCAGGGCGGCGCCTGTGGCTCAAAAGAGTAGGAGGCCAGCCCCATATGTCAGAGGTGGCAGGTTCAAACCCAGCCCCGGCAAAAAAACTGCCAAAAAGAGAATTGATGATACTGCAGTTGGTTTGCTTTTGGGCAGCGCCTGTGGCTCAAGGGGTAGGGCGCCAGCCCCATATGCCACAGGTGGTAAGTTCAAACCCAGCCCTGCCCCCCCCCCCAAAAAATCCCAGGACCTCTTCCATTGTGTTGGAAACAAATAAACTATCGCTCTATTGTTTCAAACAAATCAGGAAATTTTAGCTGAGTGTGGTGGCACATGCTTGTAGTCCCAGCTACTGGGGAGGCCGAGGCAGGAGGATTGCATGGGCCCAAGAGTTTGAGGTTACTGTGAGGTATGACAACACAACTGCACTCCAGTCCAGGTGACAGCTCAAGACTTTCTCAAAAAAAAAAAGTATAAAAGATAAAAAATAGTATACCTGTAAAAGGCACTTACCATGAATGGAGTTTGCAGAACTGGAAGTTGCTCTGGGGAGTTAGTCAGTGAGTGTGAAGGTCTAGGACATTACTGTACACTACTGCAAACTTTATAAACACTGTACACTTAGGCTAATTTGTAAAAATATATTTTTCTTTTTCAATAGTAAAGTAATCTTAACTTACTGTAACTTTATTTTTTTTTGGACCAGAGTCTCACTCTGTTGCCCCAGTCTAGAGTGCCATGGTGTCAGGGCTCATAGTAATGACAAACTCCTGGGGTCAAGGGATACACTTGCCTCAGCCTCCCTGAATAGCTGGGACTACACCTGTGCACCCCCACATCAGGCTAGTTTTCTATTTTTAGTAGAGATGAGGTCTCACTCTTGCTCACACTGGTCTCAAACTCCTGGGCTCAAGCAATCCTCCTGCCTTGGCCTCCCAGAGTGCTAGGATTACAGGTGTGAACCACCCAGCCAGGCGTCCTGTAACTTTTTACTTTATAAACTTTAAAAAATTTTTTTTTATTTTTATTTTTTGAGACAGACCCTCACTATGTCACCCTCAGTAGAGTGCTATGGCATCACAGCTCACAGAAACCTTAAACTCTTGGGCTTAAGTGATTCTCTTGCCTCAGCCTCCCGAGTAGCTGGGACTACAGGTGCCCACCATAACACCTGGCTATTTTTTGTTACCATTGTCATTGTTGTTTAGCTGGCCCGGGCGGGGTTTGAACCTGCCTCAGCGTATGTGGCTTGCACCAGAACTACTGTGCTATGGGCACTGAGCCAACTTCTAAATTTATAAAAACTTCTTGATTCTTTTGTAATAACTCTTAGCATAAAACACAATATTTTGTACAGCTATACCAAAATATGTTCTTTTTTTATATCCTTATTTTATAAGCTTTTTTCTTTTCTTTTTCTTTTTTTTGGGGGGGGGGGACAGAGTTTTCACTTTATCTCCAGGGTAGAATGCCATGGCGTCACAGCTCACAGCAACCTCTAACTCCTGGGCTTAAGCGATTCTCTTGCCTCAGCCTCCCCAGTAGCTGGGACTACAGGCGCCTGCCACAATGCCCGGCTATTTTTTGTTGCAGTTTGGCCGGGGCTGGGTTTGAACCTGCCACCCTCAGTATATGGGGTCGGCGCCCTACCCATTGAGCCACAGGCGCCACCTATAAGCTTTTTTTCTATTTTTAATTTTTTTTCAACTTTTTAGACTTTTTTGTTAAAAATCAAGACACAAATATACATAATAGCCTAGGCCTGCACAGGCTCAGGATCATCAATTTCACTGTCTTCTACCTCCACATTAGTGGAAGGTCTTCATGGACAATAACACACATGGAGCTATCACATCCCATGAGAACAATGCCATCTTTAGGAATAACTCCTGAAGGACCCATCTGAGGCTGTTTTATAGTTAACTAATTTTTTTTTTTT